GGGCTGGCGAACAGCTCCTGGGATTCCGCTGCTGGGGTGTCACTGGTCGGCTCGACACCCCGCCAGTGCCGGTCGGATTAGCTGGCACCCCAGACCTCTGTTTGTAAGAAACACAAATATTTTCGTCGGGACTGTAAAAGAGGCAGCGTGTCTGGAAGCTCTTTGTCAAAGAGGTGCTTTATATCCTCCTGCTGGTTTAGACCTTAGTAACCTTGCAGTTCAGTATTCAGTTTTTTCGTCTCGTTAGCTGAATTCATCCCCTGCGCACTTTAATGTGTGGGGTGCTTCCAGCTGCATGCCTCTGGCCATCTGGCCGCAGGTTATATTGCCCAGTGCTTGCAGGTGCTTGGCAGAGCAAGTTGTCCTATTCTTTGTTTTCTTTCTCCAAAGCCTGAAGAGGACCAAAAGCTGATTTATGCTGGGAAGCTGCTGCTTGATCATCATTATCTGAGAGAGTTGCTGCCAAAGGTATAAAAAAAATCTTCTATGATGTCCTGAAATACATCAGGAAAAGTGATTTTTTTTTTAACATGTCTTCCCTTACATTTCAGCATGGGGAGTTGCATGCTCTTCATTTGGTGTACAACTCGAAGGCTCCTGCAAATGTGGAAGAAACCAGTGCAGAGGTACTTATACTAAGTTAATGTACTACTTTGCATCTTGAGGTTGTGACTAAAAATGGGAAGTGCTGAATGGCTGTTTTAAAGTTCACTGGCACGGCAGATTTTTCCTGCCAGTGCAGTGGCAGTGTCACTTTACGATAATTTGCTTAGGAATGTGAGAATGTATTTGGATTAAGCTGAGTAATGAAAATTGACTCTACAGTTCATCAGTAAAGATTGTCATGGCATCTGTTAAGAAATAGCAAAACTATAACTAAAACGGTACAATCTGGTTGTAACACATTGCTCAGAGGAGAAATGCTTTCTGGTAAATTCAGTTTTATTAAACAGAATATGACTTGTTGTGTCCCAGGCCAGGCTGTGGTTGTGGGCAGAAGACGTAGTTGGAGTGGTTCTGATCTGCATGTGGGAGTGCAGGGGAGGAAGAAAGCTGTTAGCTGAAGATGCTCTGTCTGCTCTCATGAATGACTCAGCCTGTAGAGAAGAAGCCAAAGATAAGCCTTAGTGCTTGAACTGAGTACTTACTGGTCTTAAGTGCAAATGGCCAAAACCAATTTTTACTTTCAAGTGGATGTGCTAATGTGTCTAGAGGTGTTTATATTGCCCATTATAGGCAATTTGAGCTTACCCTGCCCGTGTCTGGTGCTTGCTAGATATGAGCCAGCTTTGATCTGGATGTTATATGGATGTATCGCTGCAGAACAGCCCTTGAATTGTGTACAGCATTTTGTGTACACAAGTACAAACTTATCATAACCAAACAGGTCAAGCTGTCTTGAGTGCAGTTCCCTCTGTTCCTTCCAGTTACATTTTTGTAACCAGATGGGACCTGACTGTATGCATAGAAATTAATAAATACAGGTGTAGGTCTGGTGATAGTGAAGAGTAATGTCGAGTCAGCTCTACACAGTCATTTTTGTAAGGAGCTAAAATACTGATGGAGGTGCTTGTGGCATGGTAGCTGAGAGCAGTGTCCGTGCTGTGGCAGTGCCTGGAGGTGCTGTGCAGGACAAAGTGTGGACTGTGTAGCAGTTCGAAAATCAGTGTGTGTTCTGTGTGGCGTAACCTTTTTATATAAGGCTTGTGTAGGGTCCTGAATAAACCTCACTAACTGCATCGCTGTCACTAGGTTAAAGCTGCTCAGCCAAAGTTACTGTCAGAAGCTGGTCAAGAGCCATCTGTATCTTCTTCAAATGGTGAAAGGCTGAGATGCTCTTCTGGTGGCCAGTCTTCAGCAGAAACCAGTAATAGGTAAATACAATTTTTATGTACCTCGCTATGATTTTTAAAAATGTTGGCTTTGTGTTGGATGCCAGCTCCTTATGCTGTGTCCTGTCTTCAGCCCATAGAACATGGGTGAAAGGTGATGAGGTTATATATAAAAGCTTTAGAGGATGTGGAAGAAACTGGAGGAAAATGCACTGCTGTCAGATGAAAATCTTCCCTTTATTCATGTGGGTAAAGAGATGTCTTTACTCTAGAAGGAAGAATTAATTTGTCTTTGGATGCACAAAATGGCAGAAGCTATTTACTTTATCCTGTAATGAATGACTCTTGCTGTTTGTCCTGTATTTGCTAATGAATGTGTTCAAATTTTGACCAAGGCTGGAAACAACTCGGCATCCCTTCCAAAGTGTGCCTCCTGGCTTCTCTGCTTATACAACCTACAGCATGCTTCAGATGTCCTGGCTTCAGCAGATTTATGCGAGGCAATATTACATGCGATAGTAAGTTTTCTGTCCAAATCTATCAGTTGGAAGTAGAAACTGTGATATAAGGAAATAGAGAGCTTCAGGCAGTTCTTCCTCTTTTGATGGTGGTTGGAAGACTTTTTCATTGTAACTTACACTGAATGGTGTGGGAATGTACCTCTGTCACCTGGGGCTTGGCTAATGGTTTAGGCCAGTAGTTTTGAATCTTGTAAATTGCATGTCTCAAACTCTTTTGACTGGGAGGGCGGGCATCTGTAGAGTAAGTGTAATCCTGCTGCTGAGCCTTAACTCTTCACCTTTTTTTTGTCTGCTTAAAGAAGCACAGAGCACTGACTGGGAATCAGTGACAAAAGTAAAGCTGAGACTCGCAGAAGCTTGCTAGACTGCCTTTAAATTGCTATGAAGAAGTTTTTTGCAAAGTATTGAAATTATTGTTCATAAAGGGGAAGGTGTCTGGTTTGACTTGAAGTCACTATGCCACTGTCATGGCTGGAACTACAGTTTGTTTTTAACCCTTCTGCAGCCTCTAAACTTGACGCTTTCTACTTGCCTGTGATCTTACTCTGTACTTAGATGGACAAATTTTCAGTGCCTGTGTGAATTGTGAAAGGCTTTGACTAAACCTTGTTTTGTACTTCTCTGGTTTCAGCTTGGCTTCTACTGCTGCATCTGCTGACCCGTCCCGTGCACGGCGTTCTCAGGAGATACCAGTGGCACCAGTGACACCTCCGGCTCCTCTCCCTGACCCATTTCCTGCACAAAATCAGCCTGGAAACCAGAACGCTGCTGCCCAGGTTAATGCAGCAGCCAACCAGAACTTGGGGATGAATGCCCAAGGGGGTCCTCTCATGGAGGAGGAGGAGGGTGGCAATCGAGATTGGTTGGACTGGCTCTACTCAGCAACACTCTTCTATGTTTTTGTCAACATTATCTACTTCTACTCCAGTGTCAGCAGATTCCTTCTGGTTATGGGTGGCACTGTTCTGATGTATCTGTAAGTGCATGGTACCAATGTTTATGATTATATTCAGAAACGTTTCATGGAAGTCCTGAGCTCTGTACTGTGGTCAGCTTTCTGGCAGTTGAGCTACATATGATTCTTGTACCTAGACAGGGTGAAAAAATAAAAGTATAGCCTATGCCTGGATTAAATGAGGAATGGGTGGTAGTGGGTGAACTTACCTGCTTTTTGTATTAATGTTTCTGGACTGGCTGGCTTTCTTTTTAGGATACTACTTGAAACCTAGGTAGCTCTCAGTGTCAGGCCCCAGCAGCTTGGCAGTGTAGAGCAGACAGACCTGTAGCTTCAGTGGAGTAAGTGACACTGTTGGGAAACCAGTGTTTGAAGTGTGGGAAGAGGGTCTTGCACCTGCTAAGTCCTGTACTCATGCATGTTTTTCTGCTGTGAGTTGCTTCTCTGGAGAGCAGACCAAGCTAAACTGAATGCAGTGTCCTGAACTGCCTTTGAGCCTCTCTAGGTGGAGAAAACCTGGGATAGATCTTAAAAGCACAATAAAGATAACAGCCCTCAGCTGTTATCTTTAGAACAAGGGATGTTTTGTCTCAAAGATAATCTGTCACCTCAAATTCTTTGATC